GTCGATTTGACCTCACATAGACACGCTATATATAATTCCCATCGAGAAGAGATTACACGAAAAACTTTTGGCACCGCGATATTTGATGACTTTCTTCCAACAGATCCGTGCGAGATATGTTCGCGCAAGCTTAATTTCATGTTAAACCTTTCTTTTTAAGGTGTGTGAGTCGCCATAAGACATGTCGTAACTATTAAAAACGTGTGCCTGTGGGCAAGTCAAACACGTTCTTCTCCTCTTTTTTTTACGGCCAACTGTTGAAATTAAGATAATAAGACTAAATCTTTCCATTATTATGGATAGAGCTTGAAGAATTGTTATATTAAAAAAAAAACCTTTAAATTCGCAAACTCTAATCATTTTCATGTGAAGATCTATTTTCACACTCTTTCTATCTACTCAAAACACTCTAAAGAAGAACGCGATCTACTTTATCTGACGGCATAATCGATTTTAGAACACTTTTTGCCCTCACGTTCTTATTGAAACACAGAAAATAACCGTGTTGCCGATGGAATTTCGCACAAGAATAACGGCGCTTCTCTCTTTGATTCCACCAATTTTCAATTAGTTACACGAATTTTTTATCAACTTTCATAGTAATGCGTTATGTTGTGCAAAAACATAATAAAATGCTTCACTGCAATAATTATCTAGGAAGGAGACGTATTAATATGACAATATATAAGATTAAGAGTAAAATAATAAATCTTATCTATAATTGTCTTGATAATGAGCCGGTAATTTCGTAGATGAACTGGATTTACATTTGTACTGTTGCAGAAAAAACGATACTCAACACTAAAAGTGTCTCTCAATTTTCCTCCTGAACCACCTGAAATTTCCACCACCCAAAAACTCTTCATGTCTGTCTCGCTCTTTTATTATCATGTTAAAGCGTTTTTTTTTTTTTTTGAGGAGAAGAATAACAGAGTCATTCTTGAGTGTATTTGGCTGGAGGAAGCCAAGTTTATTGCCTTGCTTATTCCCACCAGTCTGCGTCTCTCTGCAATTATGTTGCCACCAAAGGAATCGCGAGCTCTTCCACAGAACACCCAACGGGACTCTGGTCACTTCTTCTTGAGACACAAACGAATTCAGACTCAAGTTCTTCATCCACTCCACTTAACACGCTGCTCGCGATCACTCCCCAGAAGCTCTTTGCCTCCACCACGACTGATCTCCAACCGTCCGCACGGTTTTTCGGTGGCCCAGATTGAATATTTTGTCACTCTTGCACCACCCACCACACCAGAAGCAGTCAAAAGTACATGAAGAGTGTGCGTGATAAGTGAACAACTCATATTGCATTTAATCTTTGGTGCATTTACTGACATTCTCGCGAATATGTGGCAAATATTTCGTGATATCCGATGGCTGTGGATGCAATTGTTGTGTCTGCAAGTGCTCTTCGTGAAGTGCGGCATGTCCATTTACTTCTTCAACCCATACATGCCACCCACCTATGGATTCACCCTCGACAACTCCATCGACCACTACACTAATCTCATGCAGAACATCTCGCAGCACATGGGCGGACTCAGTGCCTACCCAAATACACTATTTGGTAAGACACTGCATTAAGCCGAAAGTTACCCGTTTTCCGTTATTATATCACCTTTAATCAATTCACTTTACGACAGCGTCCATTCAGATTGTTATTTTACTTATTTTATGAACAATTCGACTAACCAGTGTAATTTCCTCAGGCTTTCCCTCACCGCCCTCCTCGGCAAACACAGTGAAAGAGTATGATTTCATAATTGTGGGCTCAGGACCGGCTGGCTGTGTGTTGGCGAATCGCCTGTCAGAGAATCCAAATTGGAAAGTGCTCCTCCTCGAAGCCGGCGGCCTGGAAACCATTTTCCACGATATTCCTCTCCTGGCCGCTTATCTGCAGTCAACAGCCTCCAACTGGGGATATTTGACAGAACCCGAGCCCGGAGTTTGTTGGGGTAAGACTTTCTTTCCGGATCTCACATAGAAGTTCAATACTATGTAGAATTCTTTATGAAAACTGCTTCGCAATCAAGTGAACTTTCAAGACTTATTGTCTACAATCGTAGTCATAATTGTGATTGAAGGTTAAGAGCATCATATAATATTTTATTATTTCCCGTTGAAGTGAAATACGATTGACAAACAACTACGAAATCACATAAATCTAAACAACTCAATAATTTCGCGCCATACATAAAAATTCCATATTTTAACGATTTTGCCAAATTTTTGGTACAAAAAAATCATGACAAAATATGTCTAAATCGTAAAATTTTTATTTCCTTCCAGGAATGTATGATCAAAAGTGTGCCTTTCCGAGAGGAAGAGTTCTGGGTGGTTCGAGTTCCATCAACTACATGATCTACAACAGAGGAAATCGTCGCGACTATGATAGATGGTCTCAAGAGGGAAACTACGGATGGTCGTATAACGAAGTCTTGCCGTACTTCTTGAAAACCGAGCGATCCATGCTCAAGGGATTGGAAAGCTCACCTTATCACAATAGATACGGCGAGTTGAATGTCGAATATGTGCCATACAGAACTCCTGCAGCAAGAGCCTTTGTCAAGGGTGCTCAACAGGCGGGATATGCAAAGCTCGACTATAATGGCGAGAGTCAAGTTGGAACATCCTTCGTACAGGCAACAACATATAGAGGAGTTCGTCACAGTGCTTCCAGTGCCTTGCTGAGACCTATCAAGAAACTTCGACCCAATCTGAAGATCCTGATCAATGCTAGAGTGACGAAAATCCTCATTGATCCCGAATCAAAGGCCGCCTATGGCGTGGAGTACATTAGGAATAAGAAAACCAGGACAGTTCACGCCAGCAGAGAGGTCATTGTCTCCTCGGGAACCTTCAACACACCACAACTCCTAATGCTCTCGGGCATTGGCCCTGCAGACCACCTAAATGAACTTGGCATTCCAGTGATTGAAGATCTGCCTGTGGGCAAAGTAATGTACGATCACATGAGTCACATCGGACTCATATTCACTGTCAACACAACAGGAAACACGCCGGCCACGAATCGCATCACTCTCAAGCAAATCACCGATTATCTCCACGGCAAAGGTCCTTTCACCATGATTGGAGGCGTTGAGGCGCTCACATTCTACAAATCTCCCAACAGTCTGGATCCACCAGACTGGCCAGACGCCGAAATCATCACCATCGGCGGAAGTCTGGCGTCAGATGAAGGAACAGGTGTTCTGCGAGGAATGAATATCAGACAGGAAATCTATGACACAATATGGAGACCACTCGAAACCTTACCAACAGATCACTGGTCGGCTTTTGTTATGCAATTCAGACCCAAATCCACTGGTCAAGTGAGATTGCAAGACACTAATCCACTGAGTTGGCCCAAATTGTACCCAAATTTCTTCCAATACGAAGAAGATTTGGAAATCTTACTTGAGGGGACAAAGGAAGTCATCAGGATATCTCAAACACCAGCCATGCAAGCGATAGGAACTCGAATTTGGGATATTCCACTGCCAAATTGCGCTCATCTTCACTTCGGCACTGACGACTACTGGAGATGCTCAATAAGAACTTTATCGTGCACTCTTCATCATCAAGTCAGCACTTGTCGAATGGGACCCACCAATGATCAGACTTCAGTTGTGAATCCCGAATTGAAAGTTCATGGCATTCACAGACTTCGCATAGCCGATAACAGCATATTACCTCATCCAATCACAGGACATACAAACGCTGTGTCCTTCATGATTGGCGAAAAGTGTGCCGATATGATAAAATCCGATGCGGCGCAGGGAAGATTGGAAAAGTTAAAGATTACATTTCTATCGTGAAATTTTAAACGAATTTATAAAGTAATAAAAATAAATGAAACAGTTTAATCTTAAATACATAATTTACTTAATAGTTTTCCTCACTGCTTCTTACTTCTCCCTTCTCAACTCTATGATTTGCTTCAATGAATACTGAACCATTCTTGAGAAAAGTACATTTTATTGAAATAAAATATATCAAGTTTCTGCAGAAGACTTTCTCAATATTGGTCAGTTCGTCTGGAAAACTTATCACATTAATACACATATTCATTAGCCAATTCATCAGTCTTTTCTCACTTAAAACGCGGCTTTGTTGTGGCTGACTTTGCATGCCTTGTCCAAAGCAAACAATGAAAGAGTGCGTGTAAACTTCATGTATTTATTCAATTATTATTTATTACTTCCAATAATATTAGCGAATATCGTTCAATTAATGCATGTGTGTTTTATTACTTTATCTTCTGACATTCTTTCTACAACATTTTCGCGCCTCCTTAAAAAGCTCTCAAAAAATAGAAGGAAAATCTGCATAATTCCTTCTCAATACCATCAAAAAATCATCTAAAAAACCCAATTATCAAGTATAAAACACTTAAATGAACCTGGTTGATGAAACGGAATGATATCAAGTGATGTGAATCGTTTGTGATGTGCGAAATTAGGTGGAATTTAATCTTTGACCAGTTTTTTGCCATTATTTTCCACGTCCACTGAAGGAGAAAATAATAGTTCCGAAAAGTGTGCAAGAAGAAAACAAAGGACTGAAGTAGTTTGATTGAACATTTCCGTCCTTATCTGACATTTTTATTATGTGTCTCCATTTCATTAACACTTTAAAACTTCCTATTCTAATCTAATCTTATCTAAATCTTAAATATGCTTCATTAAATATAGTTACAGGCTAATAACAACAATCCTGTAACTCCCACCATTCTTGGCAAAATATACCAATCAAAGACTATACGAAGAATACTTCGAATATTGGTCAGTTCTATTTGACTTCTAGTGGCAAACGCACACAAGTTGTTCAATTATTTCAGTAGGATTTTTCATTTTCACCTTAAGCAAGAGTGCGTGATTTGTTAAAGACTTACTATTTAGAACGTTAATCAATTAATTGCAGTTATGTGGCAAATATCGTGCAATCAATGGATTTGTGTTTTATTGCTGCATCTTCTGATATTTTTCGTGAAATGCGGAATGTCAATAGACTTCTACAACCCCTTCGTGTCTCCTTCGTATGGATTCACCCTCGACAACTCCATCGATCACTACACAAATATCTTGAGAAATTATTCTCAAAACACTGGAGGAAAATCTGCATATTCCTTCTCAATTCCATCAACATTGCCTTTCGCACAAGAGTTCGACTTTATAATCGTGGGCGCTGGACCAACGGGATGTGTTTTGGCTAATCGCTTGTCAGAAAACCCCAATTGGAAGGTTCTTCTTCTCGAAGCTGGAGGTCAAGAGACGTATTTCCATGGCGTTCCTCTCATAGCAGCTTTTCTGCAGGCAACAGCCTCCAATTGGGGTTATTTGACAGAACCCGAGCCCGGAGTTTGTTTGGGTAAAAGTTTTATAATAAGATAATACATAAAAAGAATATTATAACACGTACAATTCTGCTATTTTTCAGGAATGTATGGGCACCGTTGCGCATTTCCTCGAGGGAAAGTTCTAGGTGGTTCAAGTTCAATCAACTACATGATCTACAATCGAGGAAATCGTCGGGATTTCGACAGATGGGCGCAGGAAGGAAACTATGGATGGTCGTATAATGAAGTCTTGCCGTACTTCATGAAGTCAGAGCGATCAACGCTCAAAGGAGTCGTGGATTCGTCTTATCACAACAAATATGGCGAGTTGAATG